GTGACAAAACTACGGTTTACATAAACACATGCTTAATGTGGTACTTAAAGTTCTCTAATGGTCTTAGAGAACACTAAGGGTTGCAATGTTTTGTGCAAGTTGTAGCTAATTCTGAAATTTCTGTTCTCTCTTTGACTACCTAAGGTGCAAGAGAAAACAGATTAATTCAGAAAACCAAAACAAGCACCCTGTTCTACCATGGCCTCATGGTTGAATTATTCTGAATTTGGTAAAGTGCAAGCCACAAATGAAGCCTCCCCATGTGGTAGTATTCCCATAACACCTCCTCATTCCTATTAAAGATGCACTGCAGCTTTCAGTCAAGGTGGTAGTCTGGGTCAGTTTTCACAGATCTTAAAAGGAGCAAAATTATTATGTACAAGACTTCTCCTACTTTGCCAGTATAACCAATGAATAGCTTCACAAACTGTTAGGAGGAGGAGGAGAGCAGGAAAAGTAATTCCGTAAGATTTGTTTTCTAGGAAAAGTGAATTAAAAATACCTCCCTTTTTTTCTTCCCTGCCACAATAAATCAGGTGCTTTTCCTCTTTAAAGCAATAAGGTAGAGAAAACATTGACAGATCAGACAATTTCTATTATGTGAAAGACTGGAACAAGAAATTAATTTTGCAGTGGTTATATTAACAAGCTTGTATATAGCTGCTAAGTCAGTGCTTATTTTGGAAGATGTATCTGAATTTGACATTCAAACATCAGAAATGCAACTGTGTCCCCTCTAGCCGAATATGCAATTTTACCAGAAATAGGATATACTTACGTAATACCCGCCTACTTTTAACTTAGCTATACAGCACGCAAAACCTTCTTATTGTGACACCATTCGATACAACACCTCAGAATCAGTACCTGAGGAGATCCAATAAATTGATGTTATATTCTGCCAAGACTTACAAACTACAAACCAAACAGGGACCCATAACTTCTCTAAGAGTTTTAATGCTCACATAAACGGCTGAGTAACACAAGTACAGAGATACACGTACACACAGCTCCCAAAGATCTTGGAGTCTTTGGGGGTCCTGGACTGGAAGCTAGCCAACACTATTTCAATTTACAAAAAAAGGCATGAGGGAAGATCCAGGAAGACCTGTTGGTACAATCTCAGTACCTGGAAAAAGATGGAGAAGATCACACTGGCTGCAGTTGAAAGGCAGCTGAAGAAAAATGCAATCATCAGGCAGAGCCAACAAAGTTTCACAGAAGGAAAGTCCAGTTTGACAAGGTTACCTGCCTAGTGGTTGAAGGGAAGGACATGGATGTAGTTTTCCTGCATTTAGGAAGGATTAAGAATTCTTAAATTTGGAACACGCCTTCTGATGCTGTCCCTCACAGCACCCTTCTGGACATGTTGTCCAACATGTACTGACCTGGCTGAAGCGCAGAGCTCAGCGGGGAGCAGGGACTGGGGCTGTGTCTGGCTGGGGACCAGCCACCAGCCGTGTTCCTCAGGGCGCAATTCTTAACAACGTGCTGTTGCTTTTGCTCTGCCCTGAAGTGGCCAGGCAGTTGTACCAGATAATAGCTGTAGGTACCATTCCTGAACTGCCCTATCCTATCCTGTCCTATCCTGTCCCGTCCCATCCTCAAAAGATACTACAAGGGGCTAAACACAACAGAAAGGTTTTTAATGAAAACACACAAATAATGCAATTTTCCACATAGAGAAAAATTGCATTTGACATACTGAAAGTGAAGCAATCTAGGTTATTAGTCAGGTGTCTTGTCAATAACTCTTTAGCAAAACATATTTTTATTTGCCTGGTTTCTGCCCTTGAAATAATATAAATTTTGACATAAAGAAAAGATATATGAAAGCAGATTGCTGTGGTGGCATTTGCTATTATAGTACAGAAAACTGATCCTGAATTGCTCAATACAATTTGAGATTTTGCAAGATCCTAATATCCTAATTTAAACTTTTCCTTGCATTGGAAACATAACGAAGTTGTTATTCACATGTGCGTGTCTGTGCACACGGAGAAGGCTTGGTGCAACATACCAAGGCAGAACTTTTTTTTTTTAATTTTTTTTTAAATTATTTTTCAGTATGAGCATATATATGAAAGGCTCAGAATACACGGCGATCAGCTGAGTATTTTGCTGAGCTCAGTCCAGTGGGGAGCAGTGGAACACCCAGCAGCCCTGCTCGGCCGTATGGCACCGGTAAGAGCCCACCCCAGCGGGTCAGCAGTCCCAAAAGGACCAGGACACACAGGGGACATCTTGCCGAGGTACCGGCAAGGTCCCCGCGATCTGCTCCCGATCGCTCCTCGCACCGAGCGGCCCCAACACGGGCGGGCGCACGGAAACACCACGGGGCTCCCAGCCCTGGTGCGAGCCGCATTCCGGCCTCCAGAAGCTATTCCACGACGTGAACGAGCCATCCGGGTACCTCGGAAACTCCTTCTTCCCGGCTCACAGCCTTTTCTCACTGGACTGACGAGCGCTCCCGCTCCCCACCGCGGCTCCCGGCGGGCAGCAGCGCCCGCCCCGCGGTGCTGCGGGCGGGGCCCGGGCCGAGCCGCGGGGCCGCTGCGGGGTTTCGGCTGCCCCACTGCCGCCAGTTCAGCAGCCAGAGCACTGCCGGCGCTCCCTCGCCTCCCTGGTGAAACCTACAGAGCGATAAACCGGCCGGGCTGGCTTTCCTTCACTTCCAGGGATCCACAAACCGCACTTTTTCCATTTAGCAACACATTCTTGGTAGCATTTGCAGGTCTGTTGGATTAAATGCCTAATTATTCTGTAAACGCTGAACTTTTAACATTGGATCAGTGCTTTTTATTACACTTTCACATACTATAAACTGCTTTTAAATTCTAGCAAAAATAATCTTGCCCTCTGAAAGTGAACAAGGATAACTTCTATTAAAAAGGTACTTGGTATCGCAAATTGGTAGCGTTGGAAGGGCCTCTGGAAGGGGATCATCCAGTCCAACCCCACTGCCAAGGCAGGGTCATCTAGAGCAGGTGACACAGGAACCTGTTGACATGAGCTTTGCGTATCTCCAGAGGGAGACTCCATGACTTCCCTGGGTAGCCTTTTCCAGTGCTCAGCCACTCTCAATGTAAAGCTGTTCTTTCCCATATGAAGGTGGAACTTACTGTGTTTTGTTCTTGTGTATGTGTGCTTTTATTTTGCTGAGTACTCAGAAATATTTTTTTTAAATACTCTGCAGGGTTTTCTCAATAGCAAAACAGAAAAGATGTTGGATATTAAGGCTTGGGCCGAGTACATTGTGGAGTGGGCTGCCAAGGACCCCTACGGCTTTCTCACGACCGTGATCTTGGCTCTCACGCCGCTGTTTGTCATTAGTGCGGCGCTGTCATGGAAGCTTGCAAAAATGATTGAGGCCCGGGAACGAGAGCTGAAGAAGAAACAGAAACGCCAGGAGAATATTGCAAAGGCCAAACGAACAAAGAAGGATTAAATGGGCAAAAATGGTCTTCCTTGTGGAAAGAATCCACTTTTAAAATGAAATACTTGTACATTTTGTGTTGCAACTGTCCTTTGATACTTGATCCTGTTATTTCTTGAAGTATGAAATTTAATACTTCCAGTGTAATTTTTTCCTGCTGATTTGTGTTAAAATTTGCCCAAGTGACACTTGTTAGAGTAGTTAAATTTACTACTTGTATTCTAGTGCAGGTTGCTTTTCTAAATTTGCATGTTAAATGAAAAAAATTAACCTCTTGGATGGCTTTGGAGGTATATATTTTTTTTTTTCTCTTAGCTGAGCTATGACTTAACAAGTGTCTTAAAATTATCAAGTTTAGGGGAAAATGTGAATAATAAACTGGATTACAGAAATGCAATTTTTGGCATACCTTGAGCAGGGCTGTAGAGACAAGCTAGCTGTAGCATTAGACAGCAGACATGACTGATTTCATTTAAGGTCACTGCATATGGCTGTGTATGCCCATAGTGGCTGCTGCAGTGTCTTTGATGGTGCTGCTTGTCTGCAGAAATAACCTACCTTAGCTTTTCCTTTTTCTTGAACTACAAGCCATCAACAGACTAACTTCAGCCCAAGTTCTAGGAAACTGATTGCTTGTTCTTATTAGCTTCATTTCTCTTAAGGCATTCATGTTCTATAAAATACAGTTTGGTCTTGTTTGGTCTTCCCTAACAATCACCTGAATGCTCCACCTGTAACTAATTTGTTTTTGCCTTCATAAATTCTTTATGCCTCAAAGAATAGCCATAAGTTGGGTGAGACCAAAGACCCCAGTGGCCTAGTGTTCTGCTATAGCATATGGCTGTGCAAGGATGATGCACAAGCTTGTGGCAGTAGTTCTGGTGACAGTAACCTCCTGGCTACCTTTGATCTAAGACTTGAGTTTAGGTAGGATTTTTGTTCTCATGGCCCTTGAAACTCTGCTGCCTTACAGGTTGCAAGATGCTGACATAGTCAGAAAAGTCAGGTTTGTTTTGTAAATACATCAAAATTATTTAACCTTATTTCCAATTAATCTCTTCTGAATAGACTTGATTAATTTTTCCAAGCCTAATTTTTTAATAATAATAATGTGTGTGGTAGCCTCTACGTAGTCTAGTTCAAAAGAGCTTGTAGCAGTCATTAAGATTTTACATTTTGCATCAGCACAGAGTTGTGCATTCTAGCAGCTACTCTTTGATCAGGTTTAAAAATAAAACCTTAAAATAATACCATTGTTCAAATAAAGAGACCTATAGAGCTGGCTGACACCAAGGGGGATCAGAAGTGGGGAGTCTAACTGAAATTACTTTGAAGTAAATGTGAAGTTGGATCCCCTTTCAGTTTTGTTGGTGAAAGCAAGCATTATTAGAATATGACATCTGGGCATTTTATAAATATGTGAGATTAAGTCTCCATGTTTTGTATGAAGTGTTGTCAAATATGTATGTGTTCAACCTTTGATACCTACATAGCTTGAAACACAGGCAGGAAAACTGATGAGGGATACAATCCGTAAATAAATTTGATACTTTTTGAAAAAAAATTGTGTGGTCTTTATTTTTATTTGAAATTCTCAAACATCATCTCTAAGCAAATAACCTGCACATTTTATGTATCTAAACTATGGCCAAAATGATCTCATCATCTTGGATGTCCATGGATACACAAGGAATAAAAACTAATATTTTTTCTAAATATTTATGACAGTCCCTTGTCCCAGACCTAGTGTTAATTTTCCAGCAGCTTTATCAAACATTCTAGCTTCTATTATAGCAGTTATATGTATTTTAACTGATGTTACCCTATACAAATTGCTGTCTGCAAATCAAACATTCAAAAATTCAAATTCAATGTTGACTGTTTTAAAATCAAGCATTCAAATATGTTGACTGTTTTAAGTTACAAGAACATCTCTACCATGAGTACAGTGTGTAATCACTGTAGTGTCATAGTGATTCCTGTTAATGAAATCAAATTTTCTGTCTGCTTACCACTGGAAAGCATGCTGGCACTGCCAAGGGATTTATTCTGAAGAGACATCTTGGCCAAGGCTTGGGAAAATGTAAGTGTACAGACAACAATTTTGACATCAAGAACAGTTTTAAAACTAAATTAGCCTTCAAGGATAAAAGCAATTTAGACTTCAAGAAAATTTAGATAGTCTTTTAAGTATGAATTCAAGAATAACTGATGAACAGAAACTGTCAAAACCAAACCTATTAACACACCCTGTTTTTCACTAAACCCAAGCACTTCACAATACTTTGTCATGATCAAGCCTATTTGAATAGTTTTGCAAAAGTAACTGAACCTGCTTTAATACTACTTTATTGTACGTATTGTATGTTACAGCTGTGTATGTTGTCTGTTAAAATACTAATCCATTAACAGTACCTGTCCATTAAATTGCTTATTTATTTTGACTACTACCACTGCCCGGTGGCATCCAGGCACCTGGCTGGAAGATACTTGCAGTGCTCGTGGGGTCTTGTGAGGGCTCCTTCTTTCCATAGTAAGGGGCAGATGCATGGCCTTTAACCTGAGTATGACTTGGTTCAGCAACAAGTCCTTCCTCATACTCCTTGGCCTGAAGCAGCTTATCCTTTTCAGATACATCCTTGACCTTCTGCTTCATTTCTTCTCTATAATTTTCATTCCTAAGAATCTCCTAAAAACACAGTAGAAAGATAGTTAAGTAAGTCAGTAACAATGAAATATACAGTGTTGCAATAAAACATTTTAAACAGTCGTTTCTTTTCTTAATTTTATAACCCATATTTGCAGGTATTAAAATAAAATGTGGCAAAATTGGTTGGTTTTCCACAACTGCAAATTCAACCCTAACTGTATTGTGGTGTCCACTTCACTATTCTATTGGAGCAAAAAGAAGAAATTAAGAAATTAAATACATCAATAAATGTGAAAGTACATTAAAAATAAGGTTACTTTTTGCATTGTTTCCTGTGTAGGAGTTGATACTTACAGCTATTTATCATTTGCATATTTTCCTGTAATTCACTATGTCTGTGGTGTTAGGTACCTGTGCCTCAGGGCACAGTTTTGGGAGAAACAGATGTGCAGCCTTTGGGGTCTTGCTAGTGCAAGACTACAAAATAACCAACATGACAAAATCACGGATTGGTCGGGTTGGAAGATAGCGCAGTGGGTCATTTGGTCCAACTTCATTCAACCTCCATGCTCCAGCAGAGTCATCACAGAGTACATGGCACAGGATTGTGTCCAGATGCTGCTTGATTATTTCCAGTGAGGGAGACTCCACAACCTCTCTGGTCAATCTGTTCCAGTGCTCGGTCAACCCCACAGTAACAAAGTTCTTCCTCATGTTCAGAAGTTCTTCCTCATGCCCAGGAACTTCCTGGGCATCAGTTTCTGCCCACTGCCTCTTGTCCTACTGCTTGGCACCACTGAGCACAGCCTAGCTTCATCCTCTTGACAACTTCCCATCAGATGCTGATAGACGTTGATTGCATCCCCTCTCAGTCATCTCTCCTCAGCTTTTCCTTGGAGGAGGGGTGCTCCAGTCTCCTAATCAAAATCAACTTCATTGCCCTCTGCTAGACCTGCTTCAGGAGCCCCATGTCTCTGCTGTCCTGAGGAACCCAGAACTGCACACAGCACGCCAGGTGAGGCCTCACCAGGGCTGAGTAGAGGGGCAGGATCACCTCCTTCCACTTTCTGGCAATGCTCTTCCCAATGCCCCCAGGATGCCATTGGCATTCTTGGCTACCAGGACACGCTGCTGGCTCATGGACAGCTTGTTGTCCACCAGGACCCCCAGAGCTGCTCCCCAGCAGGTCAGCCCCAGGCTGTGCTGGTGCCTGGGGTTGTTCTTCCCCACATGCAGGACCCTGCATTTGCCTTTGCTGCATTTCAGAAGGTTCCTCTCTGCTCATCTCTCCAAGCTGTCAAGGTCCTCTGAAGGGCTACACGGCCCTCTGGGGTATCAGCCATTGCTCCCAGCTCTGCAAACTTGCTCAGGAGGCATCTGTCCCTTCACCCAAGTCACTGGTGAGTAAGTTAAACAGTCCTGAGCCCCATACTGAACCCTGGGGAACAGCACCAGTGACAGGCCTGCAGCTAGACCCTGGGCCAGGGATTGCATCCAGCTAGACCCTGGGCCAGGGATTGCATCCAGCTAGACCCTGGGCCAGGGATTGCATCCAGCTAGACCCTGGGCCAGGGATTGCATCCAGCTAGACCCTGGGCCAGGGATTGCATCCAGCTAGACCCTGGGCCAGGGATTACAACCCTCTTGGTTCTGCCATTCAGCTAGCTCTCAATCCACCTCACTCCACTCATCCAGTCCACATCTCTTGAGTTTCCTACAAGAATGCTGTGAGACACAGCGTCAAAAGCTTTGCTGAAGTTGAGGTTCCACTGCTCTCCCCTCCTCCATCCAGGTAGTTTCATCATAAAAGTCAATCAGGTTGGTCAGGCATGATTTATCTGCAGTGAATCCTTGCTGGCTGTTCCTGATCACCTTCCAGTCATCCATGTGGACAGAGATGGCCTCCAGAATTAAGAAAAAGGCTGAATTCTTTTCTCCAGATTACAAGTATATGGAAGAATTAAGGACAAACTGTACCAGTACACTCCTCTGTGAACAAGAGACCATGATATTATTTTAGGAATTTAGGTGCTAAAATACATGCGGTACTGCCAAGAGTTTAAATAGCAACTATGAACACCTAAGAATGCTTAAAAGAAAGTAATTAAAGAAAACCTTATGTAAGGGGTTGATCATGGTTGAATACCAGATCCCCACCAGAGTTTGTCACTCCCCTCCACAGCTGGACAGGGGAGAGAAAATACACCTTATCTTAGAGGTACCACGGAATGCAGCCCTTTTCTTAGCTCTTAGTTGCCTCTGTACTTAAATTCACAGAATACACCAAGCAGAGGCAGAACCCTTCACATACAAATGGAAATTGAATGGAAATACACAAGTAATACACAAAAATTCTCACATGCTCAAATACAAATACTGCAAAGCATTGCAAGATCAAATTTTCAACAGTCAGTATAGCAAAACTTCTTTGTGGCATCTCTCAATTCTATCCTTGTTTACCACATACCTATGTAAATCCACCATAACCTTATTGATTTCCAGGGGATTACTCCTATGGTGCTTGTAATAAACCACTATTAAGAAACAAGTAAACCAAACACCTTTGTGATAACTGAAGACTGCATCATTGTCTCTGGTAAAACAATGGGAAGTGATTTATTAAAATACAAACACAACCTATTTACTATGAACAGCTTTTAATTTAAAATCTGTTCAAGTGATTACTTCAACAAAAAGTTATCTTAATCAAGCAAGAGCAGCTGTAACTACACACCAAATGCTCCTAGTCCATTTTAAATGTTGATATATAATTGTTTTCTGGTTTTCAGACTCAAATAAGACTCTTTTAATCAGCTGTCTGTGGACAAAGTATAATTGTGATAGAGTAAAATGAAAAAGTGGATCTTAAAAAAAACCAAAACAACATGAGAAATTATTCTTATTAGCAATTGCAAAAAAACCCTGAAACTGAAGTGACTTATTCAGAATTTTCTATACAATTTACCAGGATAAAATTTTCGACAAGAAAATATACACATCCATTTTTGGCATTAAACTCACGCCACTAACACGTACACTGAAATCACTGGGTTCCTGTGCTCAAGTTAAAGAAAATATGAATTGGAAATATTTGGTCAATTGGCATCTCAGAAAAACTGGGTCAAATACATTCTCACTTTGGGATTCCACTGCTAACCAATACTTTACTGTCTGATTTGCTATAAAAAGAACTAAGGGCTAAAAGTTAGTTTGTTTGTGGGTTTTTTTCTTTGCTTGTTTATTTAAGTTACATTGTCAGGTTCAGAACATTTTTATTCTCTCCTTCTTCAAGATGAATCACAATATAAGATGGCTATCTTTACTATAAACTGGCCCCCAGTAAGTTTTCTGCTAAAATATAAGTACACGAACATGTAATGTGCTCTGATCATTAAGTACAAAATCTTTCTATCCAACCCAGAGAACACATTGTCTATCAGATAGCTGCAGTTTTTAAAGGATTAGCTTGTTCTTCCAACACTCTCTTTTTGTACAAATAAATTATATAAGCTCTTTGAAACAGCAATTCTCAGAAAATACATGGCATCTCAAGAGTACCAGAAATGTCCTTCAGCAGTTTTACTAAAAGAAAACTCTAAGAACTGGGGCTATGCTGCAAAACTAAAAAACAAAAAATGCCTTAAGATATCCAGCCACATTTTAAAGCAGTTGAACTCCCTGTGTGCAAATGCTCACTTTGATATGTATCAGCTCCCAGCATACAGAACAGGACACACATGATATGTGAAGAGCTACGCTCAACTACATGTTCTACACCTTATTTTTAGGTGGAAAGTAAAACAAGACATTTTATCACTGCAGGTTGTCCAGCTTTGGTGATTATTTTAAGTTGCATGAAGTTTTTAACACTTCTAACGTTTAGAGCTGCATGTCTTTCCTCCTTAGGTAGGCACAGTTTAAGAAAGTGATGTCTAAGGTTTCCTTAAAGAACATTATTATTAAGGAAATACCAAAGTAGCCCTTTGCAGAGTTTGAGGCAGCTGTTTTTCATCCACAAAACTGCTGACTTCTGCATAATCTGACATCTTAGTATTGGTAACAGCTGCACGATCAAAGAATGAAAGATGGCCTGCTCCTATGAGCAACACAGCTCAAGACACGTTGCTGTCTTCCAAGGGTGTTTCTGCAAAAGGCATCGGGCAGTATTTCCTGCCACCAGCATGAAATTTTCACTTTTGTTGCGCGCTATGTATTTTTCAAAGCCCTCACATAACTCCAGCAACTGAGTTGTATTACAAAGTACCCTCTGTGGCGTGGCAACTGTATTCACCTCTACTCCATACAAGGAGAAAAATCTAGACAAAGGATTTTAGATGCCTACTTACTGTACTGGAAGAGCTGCTTTGTAGGGTAAATATTTGCAATGCAGTGTTCTTTTGCTCTTAAAGACTCCCATATTGTCACTCCTTTCCCCTTCCTGAATAAACCAGTAGCTTTACAAAATGAATAAAATGAGTTCCTCTTGGAAGGAAGATATCATGAATACAAAAGAGGGTTCTCACATTAATTCCTTCAAGTGGAGTCTGGCTCAGTAGTGACCAGTCTTTGCTGAACACTTCTTGCTATTATTCTCCACAGGCAGATGGTGGTACTGAACCCCTTCTATCCTGCAGCATCTGCTGAACCTCACACCCTGAGGATAGTTCCCCTCTCTGTGTGTCCTCAGCCCTTAAGCCAGCCATAGTCACATAGTACCTGCTTCCCACAAAACATATTCAAACTCCTGAGCACAAAGTTGTGAAGAGATCTCTAAGGACGCAGGTAAATGCAGATATGCAGTACCAAGGTACAGTGTCTAAGGGGCAGGGTTTAAGGGGTATTTTAACAGATTGGCACTTTCCAGAAGGTTCTTTAAACACCTAATCCTTTTATTACAAGGGTTTTATTTATTATTCATTTTGAGAAAAATGTCACTTTTTTTTTTCAGATGGGTTTGTATTTTGATTAGAAATAAATAGTTTCTTTATGTTGTCTTAGAAACTATTCCATCTTCCCAACTTACCATAAGTTGAAATACT